ACTCGACCCACGTGTGTGATCGAAATGATCAAAAATGGCCAACGGAAGTGCAAAGGGAAATGCAAACGCAGGGAAAAGAAATGAACATCAAACCAAACATGTATGCAACATTCCGAAGAAGGATTTGCCTGGCTCGCACCTGGCTGTCAAATTACGATAGAACGCCTTGAAGCAATGCAATATGTGCAACCGCGGCATTCGTATATACTACTACCCTTCATACCAAAACCTTCCCCTGCATTGTACTGAGAAAGGGAGCTCGATGTGATGAATCTCGGATGACCGTGAGCGACACCTCGCTTTCGTGTATCTGGGTAGGTATCTGGGTAGGTATCTGGGTAGTCAAGCTTACTTGTACCCCGTATGGTAAAGTCAACAATCAGGTGTGCGAGATGCAAGGAATACCCGTACATGAATGACATGAATGACATTGTGCAGGAGTAGGAGAAGCTTTAACTGCGCGAGGAGCTAAAATTATCACGGGATATCGTGTTAACACGTCAATACATTGATGCTAGTAACGAACATTCCCACATTTATCGACTTAGTTGCATGAGCGTGATGACCAAGGGGGTTTGGTGAAAGGTACGGACCGGAGGTACTAGATGGCAGGTAGACGGATCGATACCGGTTTGCTGGGGATGTAGATATCGATGATGATGAGCGTCCAAAAATATCCAAGATGATCGGAAAGGGAATGTGTAACTATTCCCAGCATCAACATAGAACCTCTGTTGAGAACCGACGTCGATTATGTTTCGTATTGAAGAGGAAAGAAGGGAATATGAAAGGGTGGAATGTGTGGAAGATGTACCAAGTAAGATGAATTTAAGACTCACCGTTCATGTGACTGCCAGTTGTTTAAAATGTGGCTGGTAATATTCAATCAATCTTATCCATGGATATGGATGGCTCAAAGCATGGTTGCTGGATCAGCAAAACATCACATTAACCACTTTCACCACTTTCACCTAATATAATCTCTGTGAACAGGGTTGTAATTCCCATTCTACCTAGGTATCCCTCTCACGCCAAACAAATAATGAGACTTTGACCAATGAAATGTCGTAGATTCTGCTCTTCTCGTGTCTGACTTCTCTCGTTTCCTCTCGGTAGTCTCAGGCCTCACGTCTCTCTCCCTCACTCCTGATTCTTTCTCGAACCTTTCTCTCTTTCAGGAGGTTTCCCGTCGTGCAGTCCAGCCGACCAGCAGTTGCACTACACTTACAACATACATCGCACATCCTGGGACAACATCATCATCATCGACCATACGAGAAAAGTCTCTTTCTCTTCTTTCTCTTTTTTGTTTACTTTATCTCATTTTCAAATCTAGAATCTGCCGACGCAACATACCTTCTTTTTTTCTTTTTCCCGGGCGCCCAGAATTCAATCCAGCATTAGCGACATACGAACGACAAACGAACGTCGACGACAAGAACAACCTCCAGCGCAACTTCTTCCATTTCACAAACTTTCACTTGCGTTTTGGTCCCGACCTAAGGATTCCTACTTGACCTTACATTCCACCCGCCAAAACCCTACTGTGCGATATCTACCTATGGATTGACCGTACTCGACATCAACATTCAACAATTCATAGGACTATCGATTATCAACTCCCGACCACCACTTGATATAGGAATATCCAACGAGAATACATAGATCGAGAACCAAAGGATTTCCATTCTCAACTCAAGAACCTCAGCAGTGCTACAATACACTTTTTCAAATACTACCACTACATTAATTATTGTTTCATATCATTTGACGGGAAGGATAAAGGTGATTCACGACTTCTAACGACCATTATTGTACACGAAATCCAATCTTTTAGTCTTCTTTACAACCTGCAGCCTTCACCATTTGTTTTGCGATCAACATCCAAATAACCCAACTTTGATTTATCGACCATCGACATCATAAGATCTTCATCTCGACCTTTGCACGGCTAAACAAGTTTTACATCATTGTGAGGGGTCTGCAAGAGGTCATTCTTTATTTGTTTATGGTCCACAACAACAATCGCAACAGCTGCATATGCTATTGGTCACTAGTTTTGCAAGATCGCAAGTCTAAGGAACGGATGTTACCGCCAAGCAACAGAACGGCTTTAAGATAGTGAGAAGATACGACAACGATACGAATTCAAGACCGGACAGAATCAACAAGAATAATAATAACCACAGATGTCGGAATTACCATCCTCCCCGCCTTCGGATCCGGTAGATGCGATCGCATACTACAAATTGCAGTACGAGCAATTGGAGAATGAATTGACGGAATTCCAGGCGAGTTCGCAGGAGTTGGAAGCAGAGTTAGAGAAGGATGTCGAAGCTGCGGAAAGAAGGGAAAGGTTATTGCAGGAAAAGGTAGAGAGTTTGGGATTCGAAGTGGAAGAATGGAAGGTATGTCATCGTGAAGAGGTGCATGTGGTAATTGGCAGCGTAGTTGGCTAACCAGAATTTATTTGTAGAAGAAATATAAACAATCCAAGAATGAAGCGAATGCCGCGCAGACTACTTTACAGAAGGAGATCACTTCTCTGCGCGATGCGAATCGAACCATGCAACTCCAACTTCGAGACATTGAAGTTCAACATGACGATATCGAGCGGCAAGCGCGAAATACCTTCTCATCCTTGGAAGATATGGAATCAAAATTTAATATGTCTATTGAACGAGGGGTGATGATGGAAGAAGAAATCAAGATTGGCGAAAAGGAAAGAGAACAACTCCGGATCGAAACACAACGTTTGAGAGATGAGTTGTCGGACCTGAAAGTTGAGGCAGATATCATGCAAGACAAGCTACGAAAACGACAATTTCCATCAATCACAACGGATTATACTGCGCCAAGTACTCCCTCATTTGAGCCCTTTGGAACATCTCCGAGATCCACAGCTTCTTCTCCAATCATCAACACTCCACCAGATACCAAGTCTATCTCAACGACAGATACCGTTTCCGAAACCCCTACCCCTCCATCTCCGCCCATGTCAGAAGCATCGGCGACTGCAAGACACGGACTGACCACATCGATGAACCCACCCCAAAGCAATCTAAAACTATCAGCTGCGAATGCAAGCTCGACGTCTAAACAAGGTCTATCTCGTTACGTGTCTGGCACAGTTCGCAGTTCACGAGGCACCACACCGAACGGCAATTCGAAAGCAAGAAGTGCGACACCAGCGGTGATTCGCCAGACAAGACAAAAAGCACCACCTACACGCGGTTTGCCGAACTCAACCTCCCTAACTCATATCAGAAGTTTGACGGCGCAAATGCAAAGATTAGAACAAAGAGTGCAGTCTGCGAGATCAAAACTACCCGCGCCGGTCACTACTCCACCTCATACTATACCGAGAACAATATCAGCTATGGGTCAAAATTACTTGCCACCAAGTGGTACAATAAGAGGTAGGAAGAGAACTACGGGTAGTACTGCAAGCGCGAGCACTACATCATCTATGACTGGAGATGAACCTTCAGTAAAGCACCTTCCTCGAGTCTCTGTATCCGGAATCAGCAGGCTTTCTTTTGGACCAGTTGCAAATAGAGATGGGAACGATAGCAGTCAACATAGTAGTAGACCACCCAGTCGACCAGGTAGTCGTGCCAGTGGATCACTCTATGAACGCCCACCAAGTCGATCGACTCTCAGTCGCCCAGGCGCTAAGACGCCAGTATCATCTTACGCACAGTCGCAAATTGTGGATTCGAGAAGGGCGAAGAGTAGTATGGGTGGAAATTATGGGGATAGGCACGGAGATGGAAGACCTCATACGCACTCACAGAGCGTCTCATATATTGGGTACGGCGTGGACGAGAACCGGGAATCTACCTACACGACACCAGTTCGTAGGGGAACTGTGCATGAGAGTTCGGGTGGCACACCACTATCTTCACTCCCTCGAAGGAAAAGCGGTGGACAATCATTATCGATTTCGGGCCTACCTATGCCTAGGAGAACAAGCACAAGTCAAGGATTTCGAGAGGAGGATGAAAGGATGATTATTAATCCTAGACAACCAGCGGGACTCAATAGAACTCCCACGGCACCAACAGGAAGACAAAGGAAATTGAGTGGAGTAGGAGAATGTTATTAAGCTCACTAGATGAGAAGGGTGAATGTATTTCATCCTCTTCACTTCATCTGTATACCGTTATGGAGAATCCGGGAATTTGGGATCATATTTGGAAGGACATGGGAGAAGGGTGTAAACTTGGGTTGCGTGCATTGGCTAAGGCGTTTGTTTGTTTTTCTCAACATCGTGCGTGCATAGCTAGGCGGACATGGTATGGAAAACAGTTTGGGATTGATACTGCTGCTATACCTCTTTTTTATTGATTTGCTCTGCTCCTCTTGGCTCGTTCCTTTTTGTATTCTGGGAGGAGAGAGTTTTTCGTTTCATTTGTACATAGGGGATGGATGGTTGATGATGGGTTTGGGGTTTCGTTTGTTGGTGAGATGGTGTGCAGGAGAGATTTGAATGGATTGGTAAGGTGATATGGATGGAGAAAGAGCATGGATGGATGGATGAATGGATAGATGAGATGGAATGGAATGGAATGTGATAGGATGGATGGCTGGAAGTGAGCGCTACAGACACAGACCAGACTATAAGAATGAAGGAAATGATTATGATTCAATTGGGTGTTTTTTTGATATGTGATGTGATGATATGAGTGCGATCTTGCTGGTAAAAAAGTAGCTATAAAATACAACGAATGCACTAGCTACGGTAGTGGATGATAAGGAATACCATTCCCGGGAAAACTAACTACTTGGTAGCTACCCTACCTAACCTACGAGCCTACCTACGGATAAACACTAGGCAGGTACAAGCTTATTTCTTACCCCCGAATATTTTTCGGCCTCCGTGGTCCGGTCTGTCTGTTGGTCTGTCGGTCTGTTGTGTATATATGTTTCCTTCTTTTATGTTATGTTATGTTATGATTGATTGATTATACGTTTGAGTATCTTTTTTCTTTCTTGCTTTATTGGGATGGTATGGTGATGGTGATGGGATGGTGATGTGATGGTGATGGTGATGGTGATGGTGATGGTGATGGTGATGGTGATGGTGATGGTGATGGTGATGGTGATGGTGATGGTGCTGGTGATGGTGATGGTGATGGTGATGGTGATGGTGATGGTGATGGTGATGGTGATGGTGATGGTGATGGTGATGGTGATGGTGATGGACTGGATGGTTCGCGATGGACTGGCTGGATGGGATTCGACTGGACTGGACTGAACTGAACTGGACGAACTGGACTGTTTGGGAGGGGGCTGAATGAGAGTAGATACATTGAGTAGATAGCTTGGTGGCTGTTGAAGGACAGGTAGATAGATAGATAGATAGATATTTCATTGAATAAATAAATAAATTATCTGGCTCTAGCTACTAACTAGCTGAATAGATATGTTGAGTGCGTGGGTGTGTAGCAAGTAGCAAGTAGAGTAGATGTGAATGTGAAGATGATGAAGAAATTGAGAATGAGATGAGATGTGGTAGAGAGGGATTTGTATCTTGTAGTTCTGTGGGTGATGTGATGTGATGTGATGTGATGGAGATTGGGTGGGTGTATGGGTAGGTAGAAGAGAAGGGGAGGTGGGTAGGGAATTAAGTATGGATGGGATGGGAAGGGAAGGGATTTATTTATATAGCTTGTGATGATTGTTATTTGGGATGATGAGAGATTGAGAGGTTGATTTGGGTGAGAGTGGTTATGAAGGGGCTATGGGGAAGGAAAGATGTTTTCAGATTTCATCGCCGACGTGTTTGGACTCTAGAGTGATGATTTGATCGGAGGAGAGAGAGTTTTTGATGGGAAGTTGATAGAGATACTAGGTAAGTAGGGTTTTTTTTCATTGCGAGATGGATATTTGGTTTGCTAGAGAGAGGTGTGGAAATATTGATGGATGGATGGATGGAATGGGATGGGATGGGTGGATATCTACAGTAGTACCTAGGTAGCGAGCGAGGAGGTGTAGCTAGCTACCGGTAGTACTTTGCACGTAGGGAGGCAGGAAGGTAGAGAGTGTTGGTAGTGGTAGTAAAGAGATTATTTTTCTTCGAACCTTCTTCTTTCTCTACTTTGAGTGAGTGAGTACAATGGAATGAATAATGCAATGAATGGTGCGATAAATGGATGGATGTGTGAATATATTATCCACCTCGATATGTAAACTCCAGTTCAGGATTGGTATTGCTGTAGCTGGGATAAGTTCGAGCTGGAGTTGGGAGGATGTGGGTTTACGGGTCTTTTTCTTTGATTCTGAGGGGTGAAGGGAAGGGGAAAAGAGGTGATGATGATGATGATGGATTTTGTGTCCTGTCTATTATGTTATACGAGTAAATTATCTGGCAGTCTAGCGAGGAAAGGTGTACACGAGAAACGAGAGAAAGGAGGGTAGCTAGCTCATCGGATGTCCGTGGGGAATCGGGGGAGAAATAAGAAATATCTGGTATCTACTAGGTACGTACCTAGTAGTTCAGCCTCACGTACCTATAAATTAGAGAAGCGGACTCGTGAGACACGGGCGCCCTCGAATTGTAGAAATGGCACAGCGATTAACTGAGTTCGAATGGAAAGAAAGATATAATTTCATGGCTGCTTATGGGCTAGAATACATACTATGCAACATACATGGACGAGTGAGTTTGTGTGTTGAAGTTTCAGAGTCTTCGACGTACACGCACATTTGGTTGATGGGTTAGGTTAGCTGGGTGATGACTATTTTGTTTACTGATGTTCTGGAATTATTGTCGTGGTGGTACGAGTAGATGCAGATATTTAGATTTTGGGTTGATATTGAATTGAATTGAATTGGATTGGATTGGATTGGAGGGAAGTGAATGGCGGATGATAATGAATGATATTTTGAGTTGGAGCTACCTACCCACCTCAGCAGTCAACTCGTCTAGCTTGCCAGAGCGAGACAAAGCACTCGGAGGGATGATTATATTTGCTTGGAAGATTAGGATTGAACTTTTGATGGCTTTTGGATGGGAAGAGCAAGGGTCATGATGATATAATGTTTTGTTGGCCGTGAACTATCTCCGAAAGGGAATTATCGAGCGCAGCGAGCTACGGGGGTTTGGGGGCTTGCCCCATCCATCAATACCGAGTCAATGATGATATAGGAAAAGGATCAACGACGGGTTCCATATTTTGGGAAAGCTGAGAGTTAGTCGTGTGTGTGTGTGCTGCTGGAAAGTACTTCGTACAGATCGAATATACGAGGTAAAAGTCCGGTGCTAGAAGCTGGATATGTTCTCTTGGTATATATGTATGTATGTACTTTGTAGGTAGATCACCAATATGTATGTAGTTTTGAAACCGCATACCTAGACTAGATATATGCCTTCTGGTTGTAAGAGGAACGAGTAAGAGACGACATCACCATTACATTACATTACATTGCATCATGTACGGAATGGAGGATTTTGACTTTCATGACTCTCTCCCCCTCTCGATGTCTTTTGTCTCTTGCATGTACTTTGTAAGATTTTACCTTGGATTGGTACAGCAAACCAAAGGTTCTACGGGATTCTTCATCCCTTTGGAATCTTGACCCCTGTTATTTAGTTAGCTTTAGGTATGTACCAGTATGTACTTGGGTATGTATTTGGGTATGTACTTGTATGTACCTAATATGTAGGTAGTCTCGAGGTAGTGTGGTGGTGTTGGAATTGATCGACCGGGTAGTATTCATTCCAGAAGCATGGCCACGACCCCTAGCCTCTCTAACAGCCTTCGAGGGAAGAAAGTTTAATGAAGTTGTCACTCTCGATGATTGTTGATTTTTGGTGAATTTGAAAAATGGTAATTAAATGAATGGGATATGATTTTTTGATTTTGGATTGATGGTGAGTGTTGATGTGTTAATTATCTATATTTATCAGATGTGTCCTGATATGTTACAATGTCGTGGTGATATATTATAATATTGTCATCTGTTGATGTAAAAGAGTATACTCGGTTTTTATTTGATATTTGATATTTGATATTCCCATATCATTCTCAAACTCTCGGCCAGATCTATTGACGGACTTCCTCAAAGACTTGTTAAGCAAGTAAAGTGACTTAGCTAGTCTCTCCGCAAGTGGTATACACCTTACCCTACCTTACCCAATCTACCCTACCTACCTTACCTACCCTACCTACCCTACCTACCCTACCGACCTAGTATGTAAGTGGCTGAGTGGGTCTCTTCAAAACGCCAGAACTCACCAAATTCGTGGTCGTTGGGAGACGCGCTTTACTCGCTTGGGTTTAGTGGAGTCAAGTGAGGGATGGTTGAGAGGTCTGAGAAATTGGAGACATTGGAGAAATTCAATGTTTGATAGTGAAGTGTGAAGTGAGTGAGGGAGCGAGGGAGTGACTGAGAGTGAGGGATGACTTGATATTGAGAGTGAAGACTGATGAAACGATCAAGAATCCAATACATCCAATACAATCAATGGTGATACATACACTCGCATCTCATCTCGCATCTCGCATGAAAAATAAAAATAGTAAGACTCGGTCAAGAAAATCCATCGAGCATTGAATTTCATGCCGTGTAAGACTTATTACATAGAAGAAGATAAAAAAGGAACCTGATCGCCATAAAATTGGAAGTTTTTTTTTGCTTCTATTGTGTAGATCAACAATTTTGAAACTTGTTGATTGTTGATTGTTGTGTTGTCGACTATTTTCCCATCCCCTCATTCGACGAGACTTGAAGTCTCTCAACTAGCAATAAGTACATACATACCATACCACATCTACTTCCTTGTCTTGCACTTTTTAATAGATACATTGATACATTCTTCACTCTTCTCTCTTCTCTCTTCTCTCTTCTCTCTTCTCTCTTCTCTCTCCACTCTCCTCCCTTCTCGTCTCGTCTTCTCTCCTCATACATCCATCAATCATATACCCAACCACTCATCCACCTACCTACCTACCTGCCGTCTTACTCACTTACTCATTATTATATCATCGCCTCAACTCTTCTTAAATACTAATCCGCTGTATATCCTCTTTCCTCGAGTATACACAGACTACTTTGTAATATTCGGACATCATTCGCCGAGAGAAGGGACGGTCTCCAATCTTTTTTCTGTCAAGCATTCATTAGATTGAGATACCCCAGGTAAGATTATAAAACCTTCATTAACACTTCTCCCCTTCCCTTTCCCCTCAACCCTCAACCCTTCCTCCGAAAACTTAAAACTTCCGCTATTCTTGTATTTTGTCTACAGTTCAAGTTTAATCTTTCCATTTTCTTACAAAATACAAAGGGCTTCAGATTCATTTCGGAGTTCTTTCAATTCCTCACATCTATAAATCTTTTGAGGGGATTTCGGAGTCCGTTCCTGAAATAATTATCTGACGCTCAACCTTTTTCCCGGCTGGCTTAAGAATACAGCTTCCCCTCCTTCCACCATTTCCAGGCCTCAATTCTTTCTTTGGCACAAGTTCTCTTCTCTGCTCTTCATTGAGCCCTGAATACTTCTCAAAGATATCCGAATCTCAAATCACACTCACAATGGCGGAACCACATACAAACGGCACAGTGCCAATAGTGTCCTCTTACGCCGCGAGACATAACCTCGCAGATCACTTTATTGGTGGAAATAAATTAGAAAATGCTCCCGCGGGTAAGGTTAAGGACTTTGTGGCAGCAAGTGATGGACACACGGTTATTACAAATGTGAGTAAAAAGTTTCTTGATTCTGGATGTGGTGACGCTCCGCTGGCCCTCCGGGAGCCATTGCCATGGGGGCAGACTGTGCGAGTGAAATCATGTGTTCGATTTGAGCTTTTGAATACAGTGGTGGGATGGGAGTCAGGACCTGTTGGGTGGGTGGCAGATAGAGAGGGCGAGTAGTGGAGCATGGCAGAAGCCTTTTTTCCCTACATATTTCGTTTTGGATACCTCGTCTTCAAATATATATAAAGAAAGCTTCGGGCATAGCGAGCTTTGGGGGTTTGGGGGCTTGCCCCCATTGATAATGGACAACGTACAATCTGCTCCCTTGTTGCATACTGGGAGTTTTGGGACTGGCATATTCATATCTAGTCCAGAAACATAACTAACACTCGAGGAACAGGTTCTGATCGCAAATAACGGAATCGCTGCTGTAAAGGAAATTCGATCGGTACGAAAATGGGCATACGAAACATTTGGAGATGAAAAGGCTATTCAATTCACGGTTATGGCCACCCCGGAGGATCTCCAAGCCAATGCAGATTACATCCGTATGGCAGATCAATATGTTGAGGTTCCGGGGGGTACGAATAATAACAATTATGCCAAT